ATTTATCACAATTTAATGTACTTAAAAAAATTTCATTCATAGTATTTAAATTGCTTTACTTTGGGCTTAGAGTTTTTAATTTGTCCAATGCACGAACCAACCAACACCTCCAAGAAGTAGGAAGACCTCATCACGGATCAATTTAGTAGTCCGATGTGACGAAGTTAACTGCGCAGTAAATGAAAAATAAGAAAGATGTCATTACGTTCGGGGTACTCAGCTGTGCAGTGGTTGAAAATACGAAATATGTCATTACGTTTGGACTACTAAAGGATATTTATGGTAACCCGTGCTGAGGCCTGCTCTTTTCTAGAAGGTGTTGAACAAACACTTTGCGTTTATTCAATCTTTCTTGTAGAGAAGAACATGTTTGTAAAGAAGAAAATGGAAAATTTACTCTCGGCATTGTAGTAGATTTTAAAATCATTCTAATCGGCTATCCAAGCAGACGATTTCTCATATCTTCTTCATAATCTTCTTTCAAGAAATACTTACTGCATATTTGTGCATATTTATATTAACTGGGTCATTTCTTTTGAAATATTGAAGCCATTTTTTAGGTAGTTGTTCATTTACTTTAGAGGACACGTTGAAATTTTATTTTTCCCTTTGTGTTTCGATCAGAATTTTTGCAAATTGCAATCGCGCAAACTGGCATTTTGTTAATAATTTTAAATTTTTGTAATTCACTGCAAAAAAACAGAGGAAAATCATTATCGAAAACAACGAATGTCTTGGAATTAGTTAGGCCAAATGCTTCGTTCTTGAATTAAAAGTTCAAGCTTTGCACCGCCGTGATGTCGCAGAGGAGAATTGGAGGTTTGGCGCAGCGAGAGTTTCTTCAAAGGAGTGAACCAGCCCTACTATTCTCTCTTTAGCCTTGGTATACTCTCGACTGCTAATGACAACACAGGAGAGACGACGACCATGAGCAGCTTTCAAGATCACCACTCAAAAGTCCGATGATCTTACTATACAGCTTTCCCGGCTTCTCACAAAACAGCGATGGGTATAATGTTATCCTTTCATCGAGCTCTATCACAGATAAAATTCTGTTGGGGAAGTCTGTTGGCGTGTCTACCGCTACAGTTATTTGATTCCAATTCGCTAGTATACAAGACATGTTAACTCGAATCTATGTTGGGGTAAATTTTCATAGAGGAAGGTTGACAACACAGGAGAGACCACGATCATGAGCAGCTTTCAAGATCACCACTCAAAAGTCCGATTATCTTACTATACAGCTTTCCCGGCTTCTCACAAAACAGCGATGGGTATAATGTTATCCTTTCATCGAGTTCTATCACAGATAAAATTCTGTTGGAAGTCTGTTGGCGTGTCTACCGCTACAGTTATTTGATTCCAATTCTCTAGTATACAAGACATGTTAACTCGAATCTATGTTGGGGTAAATTTTCATAGACGAAGGTTGACAACACAGGAGAGACCACGATCATGAGCAGCTTTCAAGATCACCACTCAAAAGTCCGATTATCTTACTATACAGCTTTCCCTGCTTCTCACAAAACAGCGATGGGTATAATGTTATCCGTTCATCGAGTTCTATCACAGATAAAATTCTGTTGGGGAAGTCTGTTGGCGTGTCTACCGCTACAATTATTTGATTCCAATTCGCCAGTATACAAGACATGTTAACTCGAATCTATGTTGGGATACATTTTCATAGACGAAGGTTGACATAGACGATAATACTCGCCAAACAAACCCATTTTCTTGGAACCATAATTTGTTTACAGTATAGAAAATGACCATAAAATTACTTTTGTCAGATTCTTTATTAAGTGAAGAAAGTTTTGAAGAAGTGCTGTGTCCTAGATTAAATTTACATTACAAATAATAAGCCAGACTATTATTCAGAAACTATTCAAACCAATTGTTTCCTAAATTAGAAAGATCTATTTTAAAGGTACATCGTTTCTTGACTTAAAAAAGAATTTTAAAAATACTATTTTTTGTTTTTGTAGATACATGGAGCTAATACAAACTATTTCCATTTGATAAATCACAGTTTGGGGTGTGTGTTAACTCATCTTGCTGTACAACCTCTTTGCAATATCAGACACATTACATGTAAGTAGAATTTAGTTTTTGAATGCTTTACCTACAGTTACTGAATGAAACATGCAATACTTAGGGCATTTTCTAAGGAATGCGTTCTTTAAAAAAATTTCCATGATTTTTTTTGTTTGATAATTGGCAGCATTGTTCTCATGGGTATCATCCAGAAAGTTAAAAAATTATGTTTATACAAAACTTCAACTACAAAGGCATGCTTCTTTAAACTATTTTTCAATCCATAGTATTCAAAATCCCTAAAGTTTTCACCGCTTACCAATCACTATTTTTAGGTGCAACTAAGCTAACCAGTTAAAGATCCACTTATGAAAATTTTCAAACTAAACTAGTTATATATATACATTACAACAATTCAATAGCTAGAGGATATCAGGATATATTCACAGTAAATATAAATATTTACCTAACTAAGAATGTATCAGAACTATAAATATTATACTAAGAAATAAATACAACAGCATTTAAAGTCCGAAAAAATCAAATTCAATAACTAATTAAAGTCTCTTATAATAATGTTTAAAAAAATTCAGTCCAATATAATACAATACAAAAGATATTACTATGCATTAAGTTTAAATTTTAAGTAGCGCAAGCAAAGCAGTTGACTAAATAAGAGAGGAAATTATACATTACGGAATTCAAGTAGTTATTCCAAATTGTAATACAACGGATAATAGCGTATTAAAAAAAAACAAATAAATAAATGATAAATGAACACAAGGGTCACCAAGTGAGGGGGAGGAACCCTCTCATATTAAGTTGAGGACAACTATGACAAAATCAGCCAAACATTTATTACCAACTGAGACATAACAATAAGATAAAAGCAGAAAAAGTATAAGTTAAGTATGAGTGTGCACAAAGCAGTGTTCGAAGCTTCTTAAATACTGAAGAAAGGCACAAAGTCGCCGATCTTGTGTACGTCATCCAGCTAATTCCTTCGGCGACTACGCACCTTGCCTGGCGCCACACATTATTAGATATTTTGGATAATGATGTTGATTTTCTACAATATAAATATAGTGCCACTTCCTTACACAATAATATGCTTCAAGGCAAACAGGGTTTGGTTTTCCGCTTTTAAAAGAAAGCAAAAATTTGAACCATACTACGGTTAAAAGGAATAATAATTATTTTCAACAATGGTACAATTTTCCTTAGGTTGCATTTTATTTAAAAACCGTTGTCGAACAACCGACCCAATTTTTACGTTTACGAATAATAATGTTCAACTCTGAAGCCTTGTAATTTTGAACCCAATCCAGAAGACAATTGAACTCCTGGGTCAAGTATTGGGAGAAATTTGTCTTCGATGGATACATTTTGATGGAGCCAACCCGCATTTGCGTTACATGGAGAGGAAGACCACGAGAACCTCCCACGGTTAGCCTGACGGCAAAGGGACTCTAACTTATGATCCGTCTACCACTGAGGATATTTCACTTCAGCACTGTGGTCGGAGCAAGCCGGATGCGGATTCATATCGACCATCGCTGGGATTCGAACCCGGTTCACCTCATTGGAGGCAAACGCTTTATCCCCTGATCCATCGTGGCTCTTCTGAGGTTGTAATAAATATCACTTTAAAGCTAATATGAGGTTTCTTCAATCCCTCCAACCGGAGTTTATCCCATTGTAATTTTATGAGATTTTAGCGCAAAAAATACCTTGTGGGGTCTGATGAAAGGCAAACGGAGGGACGATCTTGTGGAGTTCTTAACTCTCATGGATATAGATGTTCTTCATGATGCCTACTCCCCTCTCACTTTTGATTTAGCAATCAGCCACTTCTGGATTGATTAGATTCTAGCTAATGTTACATTGGATATTAGGGCAGGTTGAGGGCTGTGAAACTTTTAGATATCATTAATTTGCCACCATGCTCACTGATTTAGAAAGAAAAGGAATAACTCTTTCTATACAAATTAAATACGCAGATTTAAAACAAATTGAACTGAGCGTAAATTGCTTCACAATCTATGGAAGAATTGAATGAAATAAATACAGAACAGAAGCTTAATACTTTTATCACAAAAATCACCAACGAAATCATCATAATACACGCAATTAGTTTAAGAAAAAGATATGCAAAACCCACAAACTTGAAAAGAGAAAGCCTTAAGTGGTGGACTTTAGATTCGTCTATTGAAAGAAAACGGTTTAGAGTTAAAAGAAGATTATTTCAAGCTGAGAAAGATATAAAAGAAAATCGATGATAAAAAAGAAAAAGCAATATTTGAAAAATTAATAACAAAAACTAAGAAAGAAAAACTTAATTACTACTTATCCGATATAGAGACGTAAGATTGCTTTGGACCTGGCTGTTATATAGTCAGGGGAAAAATTAAGAAAACAAGTCATACAGAAGACCTCATAATCAGATGAAACTCGCACAAAGTCGCGAAAGGACATAATCAATTCAATTCTTCAATACCAATTTATGCAGAACCTGGAAGACAGATTTCCATTACCGACTTTATAAAAACTTGATCAACCATTTACAAAAGAGGAAGTGCAATAAGGTATCAATGACATAAAAAGCAATAAAGCTTCAGGCTCAGATTAAATTCCTCCGGAAATAACTAAAGCCTCTTTCAATATAGAATCCACATGGTTTACTACTAAAATACTTAGCAAATGCTTTAAACTTAGATACTTCTCAGCAGACTAAAAAATTGCCAAAATTGTACTAATCCCTAAAACTGGCAAAGATCAGTAATAACCAGACAGCTACAGAACTATATTTTTACCTCTGGTGTTGGGCAAGGTCCTTGATAAGCTATTGAAAAAAATATTAATCGTCTACCTGTAAAATACCAAATTACACAATAATGTTCAGCATGATTTCAGAAAACATCAATTCATCCAAACAGCTATGAAAACTCATAAATGAAAGCAGCAAGATCTGAAAGCACGTATACAGTTGTAATATCTTTGGAAATAAAGGGAGCTTTTGATAGCATCGTATGGAAAAATATAATTGATGAATTGAATTGGGTGAGATCTATAAATATTTTGACAAATCTTATACAAAGTTTTCTCTCCAACAGGCACATCATAAATATAATTGGTAATGAACAAACTTTGCTGACGATTTCCTTATTTTCATTTCGAGAGAAAATTTTGACAACTTAGCGATCGATTTACTCAAAGATTATGAGAACTGGGCAAATTACCAAAATATTAAATATAGCATCCAAACTGCCAACACAATAATCTTCCCAAATAAAAGCCACATTGCAAGATAGCCCACAATTAAATTACAACCACAAAGAATACAAATTTTACCATTCATAGATTATTTGGGATTGAAACTCAACAGTTGGCTCTCCTGTTTGCACCATCTAAGCTCATGCTTGTGAAAATTGCAACACCATGAAGGAATCGTCATAATTGAATGAAATTTAATACCCTGTTGAGTGGTAGTGGTACAAATAAATGATTAAACTTTCAAAGCAAGCAAACTATAACAAGAGATCGAAATCAGTATTTTGTGAAGACACCACGCTCTGCAATAAGTGCTGCTACACGACGTGGCATAGAGTCAAGCAAATTTTGAATGTCTGTCTGAGGAAGAGCATTCCATATTGTTTGGATGCGTAGGGAAAGTTCGTCTGTAGAAGCAACAGGACGAGGATCATGAATGAGACGCCGACCAACGAAATCTCACACATGTTCAATCGGAGACATATCCGGGGAATACGCTGGCCAAGAAAGAAGTTGTACCTGCCGCGATGCAAGGAAGGATTGAACAGTCCTAGAAATATGAGGGCGGGTATTTTCCTGTTGAAATACAGCGCCTGGGAAGACTTGAAGGAAAGGAACAGCTTTGGGGCGTAGAACTTCACTGAAGTACCGATTGCTGTTCAGATTACCTACAATTCGTAGCAATTGAGATCGTCCATGATATGCTATGGCACCCCAGACCATAATTCCGGGTGTTCGTCCACTGTGGCGTTCGATAATGCACTCCGGAAGGTGGCGTTAACCGGTATTGCGTCTGACACGAATGCGGCCATCATGGTACCACAAATTAAAGCGGGATTCGTCAGAAAACACGACGCGCTGCCAATCAGCACGCCAGTCCCTATGCTGATTGGCCCATTGTAGTCGCAGGCAGTGATGGTTTAGCGTGATCCTGTATAAAGGAGTCTTTGCGCGCAGTCCACGCTGCAGCAGACGTCTACGAATTGATGAAGCGAACAATGAAGCACCTGTAGCTATTGACCACTGTGCTGCCAGTTGTCTAGAGGGAGTCGTACGGTCCGTCAGCGCCATGCGGTTCAGGTGTCTATCATCTCGAGCTGACGTGACATTTCGGGGTCCACTCCCGGATTTCCGAGTCGTCCGACACTCGTCCGTCCACTGCTGCCAAACACGCATCCCTGTGCTGCTGTTACGCTGCACACGAGCGGCTAATACACGATAAGACAATCCAGCTTCACGAAGGCCGATGATTCTCCCCCGTTCAAACTCCGTAAGTTGTTAAAATCTCGCTCTCTTTCGTCGAAGAGGCATAAGTAATGACTGAGTTAACGTTTACCACTAGCAGATTACCAACGATAACCATACACGCCACGCTACAGTCGTCTATTTATTCGGATCCATCCGCCGTTCAGAGGGCGCTGCTCAGCATACGCATGCGCTACGGGTCTGAAATTCTAATCATTTTCATATCATGCTCTACTTTGCATTTCCTGAAAATTTCAGCTCACTCGCGTAAGTCCTTCATGGTGTTGCAATCTTCACAAACAAGAGTTTTGATAAACAGCACACGAAAATCGTTAAGTTTCACTTTTCTTATTAGGAAATTCGCGTAGGTTTACTCAATTCGACAGAACTTGCTTAGGCTTATTAGAATAAACTTTAAATAGTTGATTTTTAATAAGCATTCACTATTCTAGACTTATTTCAAATCGCCAAAAGCAAGATAATCGAGCAATGAATCATCCTGGAATGAATTATGCCCGAAGCTATGAAGTTTCACTGCAAAAAGCCAAAGAAGTGTCAGACTGTTTATAAAGTATTGAAAACATTTTAAATTTTTCTTGCACATTGCTAAACAACGGTTGATATTTGAAAAAACTGGATTATTCAATTTACCTTCTACATTGTTGTATTTTTACTATACTGTGTCAATGAAAAATTAAGCCTTTTGCCTGCTATATTTTATTTATATCCAAACTAGCTGAAACAGCATCACTAAATTTGTCTTTCAATTTTCTCTAGCAAAAATAATTGTTTGTGTGCAATGGGGCATAACTAGCATATTTAAACTCGTTTTTTTCATTTATAATAAGGCATAATGCATTCTTTTGACAGATCTGGATGCTGCAGGGCCAAGGTTTAAATCAATACTACGATTCCTGCGACCATCGAATACCGACGCTTATTTCGTTGAAGCAATTCATACTAATGGAGCTATTTCAGAAAAAGAAGGTACTATTAATATAAACTACTTTATGAAGTTGTTAAGTTACTAAATTATCAACTTAACATCCCCCCTCAATTACTTTTCACATGCAAAGATGTTATTTTTTTTTTAATTTTCGAAATATTTATATGGCATCGAAAGGTAAATCTAAATTTTAAATTTTTTTTAAAGTTAAATAAAAGTAATTTTTTTCTTTCATTTAAAAAAATCATTTAAACTTTTTTCCGATTGTTTCACTTCGATTATAAGATACCATCAATATTTAATTGGTTAACATAAATTTTAAGGGAATAGTTGCTTAAAATTTATTTATTATTTTATGAAAATAATGCATTTAAAAATGCATCTTTGATTATAAAATGCGCTTTTTTTTCTTTCAAAACACTATAATTACACATAATTAAACAATTTGTGTTCATTCAAATATTTTTTTGTCTGTTTCAATTCCAATACTTACAAGCACAATACAACAATTCAGATACTTACAAGCGTTGCTTGTCACCATCGGCAGCTATCATTTACTGTGATTGGCTGTTTTTTTTTATTAAATACTTTTTTTATTAATTATCAAATCAAAACATCAAACTAATTTTTTTCAGAACAACATTTGCTATCAAGTGACTTTACGCACTCAAAATAAACTTACAAACTCAAAATAAATAAACAAAAAATAATCAAATATTTTTTTTCGGGATTTATTTTCTGATGTTAACAAATGTGAAAGTTACCACTATAATAGAATATTAATGCAAATTTTGTGGGTTTTTTCATAAAGAGTAAAAAGTTAGAAAAAAGTGAATGAATTGTTGAAATAAAATATCGCAAGAACTTATTTCGATTAATTGTTTGAATCAAAAATATTTTATTTTTTATTATTTTATAAACGATGTTGAAAAACCGACGCAATTCTGCGTTTGCAACTATCTATGTTAACTCTGCAGCTTTCGTAATTTTGAACACAAACCAGGAGACCAAGGAACTCCTGGATCATAATGTGGGACAAGCTACTCTTTGTAGTGGACTTTTCGATGGAACTAACCCTCATTTGCGTTCCGTGGAGCAAAAACCGACGAAAACCTTTTATGGTCAGCGCGACGGTAAGGGGGGGATTCTCACCCATGATTTACTTAGGACTGATGATGTTTTATGACAGCACTGTGGTTGGTGCGAGCTAAGAGCAGAATTCGTATACACCAGCCAAAACAGGTATTCGAACTTGGATGACCTCCTTGAGAGGGGAGTGCTCTATCACCAGAGTCACTGTGACTCAGAATAAAACATAAGAGCATTTTTGAATTCATTATTTTTGTTTAATATTCTTTTATGTCCAAGAATTTTCATTCATTTTTCAGGAGAAGGATTAATACCGCCTATTGCAGATATCGATTATTATCCAAATGGAGGTCAATTGCAGCCAAAATGTGTAAAGGGAGCAAGATTTCGAACTGAGACTGGAGAAATTGATACGGGTAAAACATTTAAGCAAAAAATATGCCTATGTAATTCAACCGGTTTCATATTGAAAAATATGTGACTTACAGTGTGCCAAAAAGAAGAGAAAAAAACCCACTCTGAATAACTTTTGTTCTAATGATTTTATTTTCACGTTCTCGTACTCATTCTTAATGGTTTGAAAGGGTGAGCTCAAATCTGCTAATTAATAAGTGCAGACTATATTTTAAGTTGCGAATTCAGACACAAAAAAACGTTCTTTCTCTGAATAAACATGCCTTTTTTTCAACGGATTCGGATTTCTGACCTCCAAAATATCGGGGGTGGCCGCAATCTGAGATATATGGTCCCAACAGTTTGGTCAAGAGAAGGTTCCAACGTTTGGACTTCTTAATGTTAATTTTACTTTTTACGTACTTCGCTATATCTCGAGAACATTTATTGTTTGCACCCAATAATAAAATTTGTTTATCCGAAGATAATTCTATGAAAAAAAAAAACTTCAAGTAAATATTTATTATTTTTCATTATTTTATTTAAAAATGGTCAAAAAAAATTTTGTATTGTAAGGTGTACAATTTTTTTTGCTCCATTTTAAAAAATGTAATTTTATATAGCAAAATACAAAATCAGGCGAATTGTTCGTGATAAATGGAATTTTAAGTATCCAACTTTTCTGGAATTCAATTTGATGCAGCTATCTTCAACATTTTAAGGCTCAGGAAACCGTATCCAACGAAAAAAAGGTATGTTTATTCAGAGAAAGTTCGTTTTTGTGTGATTTCGACACTTAGATATCGTCTGCACCAATTAATTAGCATATTTGAGGTCACCCCCTCGAGCCATTAAGATTGAGTCCTAAAAAGTGAAAATCCGATCATTAGATCAAAAATTATTCAGGGTGATTCGTTTATTTTTCGTACTGTACAAAGATGGGTTAAACGATGATGCGTACACTCACTAAGTTTTGGGACATATTACAAATTCCTAATATGTGTCTCTTTTGAAACTAGGCACGCATCCCAATGGTAATTCATCTCATCCGATGCTTATTCAATAACAAGTATCAATGTTAATTACAGCAGCAATGTTGTTGCCCTTGGGGTACATAAACGTTGTCCTTATGCACCCCAATGCCAACAACATTGCTGTCGCCAGACATTGATAGAAACATGCTATTTTTTGTATAGGTGGAACAGGGGGGGGGAACCATTGGGAAGAACTNGAAACGAAACTCCTCACTTTAACGCCACACAACAACTACCCTTCTAAGCAGATCGACTGTTTTTTGCACTCTACACATCGACAACAGCGCCACCTCACCGCTCCCATATCCTATTTGCGCATGCCCGCTCTTCTGTGAGTTTCAAGCAAATCAAATATTAGAGAATTGGAGAATCACTACTTATGTTTGAGGCTTTGCATCTCGATATCTATCAATTTGTGGACTTAGTCTAAAAGAGAACTTTGGATCAGAATGTTTTGAACACATTAAATTTTCAGCTAATTTGAAAGATAAAAAATTTTTATAAGTTTTGTGTGGGACCCTTTGATTTAGCAGTTCCAGTTTCTTTTGTGCCCCTTTCTACTGATAACGGTAATTTATAAATATTAATTTGACATGTTAGTCTACATCAATTTTAAGCAGGTTTGGAAATGGTATTTCTTAGGTGATTTTTTAATGAGATTTTCATCAGTATACGTTGTTTATTTTCGTTTTATAATTTGTTTTGCTTTATGTGAATGTATTGTGAATGTGATTGTATTGCTTTATGAATGGGATTTTCTTTCTTCGATACTTTAAGTATTTTTTTTTCCTTTCCAAATGGGTCTTCGTGACACGAATAACAATTTTGTTTTATTAAACAATTACTCTAAGAAAAGATCAAACAGCGATGTAGGTTGTCCTCTGAAGAAGTCCTGTGTTGTGATCATGTTCCGTTTCCTCTATTTTAATTTACAAAGTATTTTGTCTCAAATTATATCAGTAATACCTTAACTTACTTGCCCTGTCTATATTAATTTTTTTTCGTTCTTAAACACATCTTTACACCAAAAATTTGCTTTAAGAATATTACTTAAAGCATCCTTTAGTTGTTGTTGAATGCGCCATTTAAGCAGCTTTAGTTTTAATTTAGAAACTTTAAAATGCTTCGTATTGTTTAGAAAGTTGCACTGAGGTTGTAATTAATGGAGTTATATATTCGTTAATTGGAATTTTGTTCTTATGATACGATATTGAAAGCAAAAAGATACCTTTGCCTGGAGTTTGCTTCTTTTTTCATTCTGTAACCAATTACATTCAACAAAAATAATGCTCAGTGGTGTTAAATCTTTTGAACTTGAAGAGCAATTTACTTTTTCTTAAATCTCACTGTGAAAAAGAAATGTTTTTTTTTACGTCCTTCAGTTGTTTGAAGATATGCTTTATCATAGAAAGAAATTACTCAAAAACAATAGTGCGTGGAGTCCCTCCGCACGGAGGAAGTGAAACTTCGTAATGTGGAAATGAAAATAGGAAGGGTTAGAAATTAATTTTTAGTGAAATCATATTGTTTCTTTAAGACAAACTTTATTAACATTACTTACAATTCATAATTGATCGAATCCTTTAATTATCATTTTCGAGTGGAGAAATATCCAAATCTATAACATTTACAATGGGATTATGATAATTTGATAACTAAAGTAAGATACGAAATGTTTGAGTTCTATTTTTTCAATATTTCTTGCAAAAACTGCATAAATGGTAGTTCCCCCTTTGGTTGTTGGATCATTCCTACCATTTATCCTTTCCAATCCAAATTTGTCTTTAAGGAAGGCTAATAATGTTTCAGCTTCAGGTAACGAGAAATTCACATTAAAATCTCGTGCAAGGATCACAGGCCGCTCGTTGCCATGGTAGCGTTAAACGTTTAACGCAACCTTGTTGGAAGTCGCATTAGAAGTTTCACTTCAATAAAAGTTACAATAAATAAATTAAGGTTTTTAGTTCGTGAATTCTAAGTATTTAACACATGTAGCAATTTTTATTTATTTATATTTTTCTCTACTTTTTCCAATTTCAAAAAAATGGTCTCATACTTTAACATTATTACCATTATTGGTTTTTTTGGTTTATAAATTTTTTTTTACGAAGTTCGAAGTGTGAAACATTATATTTGCTTGCTTAATTATATTTGTAAATAAATAAATAATGGTCTTAAACTTATTTTCACCTCTAATAAGAGAAATGCTTAAATTTTTCGTTCTTTTCAGTGACATCTCAGAGTAAAAAGAATAGTTGTAACCACAATCTGTCATTTTTCTACTATATTGCCAGTTTCAACAAAACCTGCCAATTCTTAGGACGCATCTGCGATAGTTATGAAGACTTTAACGCAGGAAAATGCTCCAGCGCACCTGTGTGCAGAATGGGTTTCTATTCCAAGAAGTTACCGAATCTCCCTGCCCATTCTAAATGCTACCTGAAAACTTCAGCCGAGTTTCCTTACTGCCTTGATTAATGCAACAGCTACAGAGTGTCCGAAATTAGATTGATGTTCTTAAAAAATTATAATTAAAATAATGGTCAAAACTGGTAAATAAATCAATAAATGTTGTTTAAAAGTCATATTTTAAATAAATATATACTTAATAAATGCAATTCTCAGTGAAAATTTCTATACTTTGGACATAGTTAAAACTGTACAATTTAAGTAACCTGAATATTCACTTATCTTTAAAAAAATGAACTAAAACAAGCATTCAGAAACAAATTCTATCAACTTAATATCGTTAATATACTATATATATAATTAAATAAATCTAATAAGTTATAAATAAATGAGTATTTTCCTTACATAAGCGAGCTCCACTTCCAGGCTGCTAATTGTATCTTCGGCAATTTATAATCCATTTCTTCTTTCTTTTCAAATTTGAAGGAAATCTGAACATTCCAGAGCCTTTTTTTAACTGTTTGAAAAATTTACCGCCGCACAACCACCCATATAAATAAGTTTAGGTATCAAAATAGTCTTCAAACTCTCACGCTAATACTAACATAACGTAACTTGCGAAACTGTCTGCCCCAACATGGCGGATAGTTCAGCTCTTATAGTATAGGAGCCTTAATTTTGCTTAACCATGCGATTTAAATCCGATTTAATAGGATACCTAAAAGTGATGTCATGCGTGTGCGTCGAAATTAATTGACTTTTGAATCGACAAATGCCACGATTTACAAATGATGACGTCACTTGTAGGCATTCAATTGAAATCAAATAACAGTATGTCACATTACGACATGTGATTGCACTTGAGGATTGAGATTGTGTTTCGTATTCTATTCGAACAACAACTGAAGCGGTCAATGTTAAAAAGGGGTATGTTATCAGGGATGTGAGCGTTGACAGACAATGAGCATACTGGATAATGAGTTAGTTCATTTGCTTCAGGATTTTCTATTTACATGCAATCCTTATGTGCTGTGTTTCAAGTCCACCATCTAAAATATTCCTCGTGATTTACCTTATTTCAAACTAATTATACACGCAGAACATGTAAGGATGTATAATGAACCGTCTACAAATGCATTATAATGCATTTGTATACTTATTGTGGGCCAGGAATTCAGCAACAGGAATATCATTCAATCGAAACACGATTTTGAGAAACAAAACTCTGAACTACACTGCGGATGTGCTACAATATCTTCTAATATTTTGTAGAGGAAAATAAGGCTATTTTATTTCAATTCCACAAAGAAACTCTGTTCGAGGAGATACAATTCTGAAAAAAGTATCCTGCATTAATTTCTACGCTTACCGTATGACGACGTGCTTCGAAGACTTAATTAGAGTCCTACGATATGGCATGCTAAGCAACCAATTCTGGGTCGATATGTACGTTGAAATAGAGTCGGAAAGATTGCCTTTTATCAAAAAATTACATCCATTTGCAAGATACACTTCAGAGCGATGAAGAAGCTTCAAACTTCGGACATTTAGTAATTCTTCCCTCTTCATTTACAGCTAGTCCTTGATATGTGCACGAAAGAACACAAGATGCAATGACATACGTCAGAAAATATGGAAGGCCAGATTTCTTTGTAACTTTTACTTGCAATCCTATCACTGGCTCAAATGAAAAAAAATACCCAAACACAGTTTCAAAGGATAGATATGATTCAGTTAGTAGAATTTTCATCTAAAATTTCAGAATTGAATTAAATCAATTTCATCTGAAAATTCAGATTCAGAATATTTCATCTAAAAATTAAAAAGCTGTTAACTCTTATTAAGCTCTTAATAACTCTTATTTAAGCTTATTAAGCTAAGATAATTAATACTCTTATTATCTGAACCATGTGTTTCATCACGAGTTCATGCAGAATTGGAATGATCGTAGGATCGGAAACTTCTGCTTATCATCAATTTGACGTTTTATTATCCAAACCATAGCAAGATATGGGCATGTGGAAGTTCCCAATTTTCCTCGAAGGTAAAGCATAAGGAAAGGTAAGTGCTTTCCAAAACAGTTTCAATCAGATACATCTACTATCTCAGATGTCTATCTGAAATGCAAAACCTGTCAACCCTAAGAAAAAGGTTTCACACCCACCCACAATCGAATCAAGGGAAAAATTATCGAAATAATAAATAGGAGGATTGTTCCACCTTGCTAAGGGCGCTCAATACATACAGAAATTTCGAAAATTACAGTTCTGTCGAAGCAATCAAATACATTTGTAAATGATAGCTAAACTTTAAGATAATGTAAAATAGGCTGTTATCATCATAGGATGGGGTGTTGGTGAAAATTTTTTAACTCCTCGAATTACCTTCGTTGAAACAGAAATGGCTTATCAATTCAAAATATTGCAATTTACTATAAGACTTTGCTTTGAAACGACTATTAATAAAGTTGATCTCAGCTCACTATGCTTCTCTGATGGCTAGCTTTATGTTACATTCTCTCACGTCAATTCACAAGAAACCCTTTGCTACCTGACCTTAAATAAAAAAAAATGTGGTTTAAAAAAGAGTTATCCGTTAAAACTTTTATTTTCGATCTAAAACAATGAAAATTTTGATTTTAAATTTTTAACTGGTGAAATATTTTTCTATTCTTATGAATCGGGTTGAGTATTGGCTATAAAATTTTAAATCTTGCGTTATTTGAATTTTTCTCATTCAAAAAGGCTGACCAGCAGGCCGTCGGAGGTGGCTAGTGTATTATAGTTATCTGAAAGATATAATAAGTATAATAATTTATTTGAGCGAATTCTAATTTTTTAATACTTTTTTTTCTATCGGCAATTGATAAGGAGAAAAAGAATACTAAATATTCTGAATCATTTGATTCGAATTATGTAATTCGCGATTTATTCCTTATCGTCTGTTATTCGAATTAGTGATTCGAATCACTTGATTTGAATCACTGATCAGAATCACTTGATTTGAATCACTTGATTCGATTCACATTAAATTTCATGATTCTAATTGTCATTTGGATTACTTGATTGGAATTACTTCTCTGAATCATTTCATTCGAAACCCTGATTCGAATAGTGATTTTAATCCCTAGATTCAAATTCTCTAATTCCAATCAGTGATTTGAATCACTTTATTCGAATCACTAATTCAAATCACTTTGTTTGAGAAGTATTTTGAATTATCTGATTCGGATCATTTTATTTGTTCTGATAATTATATTCTAATCATTGATCTGAATCACCTGAATCGAATTAGGACAAATAGTCATTGGAATCAACTGATTCGAATTACTTGATTCCAATCACAGATATGAATCACTTGATTTATATAGTGATTTGAATCAGATGATTACAAATAGTGATATAAATAACTTGGTTGAAAACACTGACTATAAACACTTAATTCGAATCACTGATCCAAATCAACGAAATCAAATCACTAATCCAAAACACTTGATTTTAATCAGTAATTTAAATAATTTGATTTGAAAAGTGATTTGAATAATTGATCAGAATTACTTGATTCAAACCACTTGATTTAAATATTCATTGAAGTCGCTTATTCGTATCACTGCTCCGCTTATCACTTTATCTGAGTCACTGCTCTGCATATTGACTTTAATGTTCGTTTAAACCAATTTATTTGGAATAATTTTTAAAAATTATTTAAAAAAATTCCATTCTAATAATTTTAATTAATCTTAATTAAAATCACTTTAAGGAATAAAAAAAGCGTAATAACATTCATAACTGAAACTTTTATCTATCTGAAAGTTAAGATCTATAAAATTTGATTTATTCATGAAAATAAATATCAGATAGAGTAAATTTATTTCTTCCTTTCTCTTTGTATATAATTGAAATGAAGTTTAATTAAGCATAACGATATCTTTAAATGTAGTATCGGCATAAAAATTTATATTTAAATGTGTTTTCTTACTTTCTCGCAAACATTATTATATAACGTTAAATTTTTGCTTAAAAAAATTAAAATAATTCGTAAATAAGCTTGAATACGGAGAATTATTTTAAAGTCAATTTGGGAAAATTCGTGGTTAAAAATCCTCTAATAATTAATAAAAAATTTTTTTCAATATATATTAATGATTTCTCCATAAATCATCCAAATTAAAATTTTATGATTAAAACTAGAATTTTATAATAAATAAAAACAAAAGAAGCACGAAGATTATTAAGAAAAACATTAAGTTATATTTATTGCGCATAAGCTGCAAGTAAATAGAACTCATAAAATAAGCTCAAAATGTAGAGAAAACAAGGGAAGAATTAAAGAACAATGAAAAAAGGGGAAAAAAAGAAAAATAATAATAAAAATAAAATAATAAAAAATAGGAAAAAAACAGCAAAAAATTTTTAAAAATCCAGAAAATAAAAGATATAATCTTTTTATCAGCTCACACTATTATATCCGCAAAAAAGAGGTCTTTCCAATATTGCATCAATATAGCCAAAGCAAAATATATCAATACAATAGTGTGAGAAGCACTCAAAACAATTTTACAAAAAAATTACAACAAATAAAATAGAGCAAAATAAGTAAAAATATGACGTAAAAACAGAAAATAAAATATAAAGAAAAGGCAGAATAAAACATGAAATGAAAACTATAAAGCGAGTAGAGAATTCAAATGAACTTACATGAACGGGAGATTTTTCAAGAATGATTTAAAATATTTTAGTAACAAGATTGTCAGATTGCAAAAAATGAAAACAAAAGCGTAGATTGAGCCAAAAGCGTAACTAGGGGAATTTTGTATTAAAGTGCGTTCTTGCTGCATTACTGAAGTGCGTTTGATTTGTTAGTCACCAAGGATAGACCCGAAAATGGATGTGAGCAAGGTAATATTACACTGGATAATTTCAGGAAGTTGACAATAAATTATTTTAGAAAATAAATATTTATTTAAGAAAAAAAATATAAAATAGAGAAGAGAAAGAAACATGAATTGCCTGTTTTCCACATAATTTTAGTCACGGATTTGCACATGGAAAAATTATATAAATTAACAAAGAAATTTTTTTAGTAAATAATTATAGGCACGGATTTGCCCGAAATGGATTTGCACATGGAAAAATTATATAAATTAACAAAGAAAATTTTTAGTAAATATATCCACAATAATATACGATTAACTCAATGATTTTATATAGAATTTTATTACTTTAGTTGGTTATCCATCCATTAAAATTAGCTCAATTAGAAAAGCAGTTAGAAATTGCAAATGTTCAAGGTAACCTAGTTGATACATATAAGACTA